GGGGTGGGGGTGTGGGTGGGGGTGTGGGTGTGGGGGGGGGTGTGGGTGTGGGGGTGGGGGGGGGGGGGGGGGTGGGGTGTGGGTGGGTGTGGGGGTGTGGGTGTGGGGTGTGGGTGTGGATGTGGGTGTGGGTGTGAGTGTGGGTAGGTGTAAATGTGTATGTCGGTGCCATCTTATTAATCCACAGCCACAGCCGCAGCCACAGCCACAGCCACAGCCACAGCCACAGCCACACTCCGACCCCCACACCCACACCCACACCCATATATATATGTATTGCCTTCATAAATAAAGAGCATATATGACCTTGAAGCACTCTGGATATTGAAACAGAAAAAAAAGCGAAAGTAAAAAAAAACAATGATGGACGATTCGTGAAAAGAGTGATTTAATCATTTGTTTTGACGACGAGAAATATAAAAAGAAATTTTCTATAAGACGGAAATCATAATAAGAAACGCAGCCTCAATTTGATATAATATAAGCAATCGAATATAAGATATGTGACAAAAACTCATCGAGTTGTTCTTCGCTCTGGAAACGTTATAAAAATGAAAGAATCTAAGCAATATATACATACATTAATATTGGTATATTAGTCTTGACCCTATTGTGGACAAAACTTGACAAATCGTATCTATTTTGAAGAGATCTCAGTTAAATTCCAGATGTTAGAATAGCTGCATTTTGAATTTTTGATCCGATATTTGACTCATTTTAGAAGTTTTAAAGAAATCTTTCAACAAAGCAGAGCTTATGCCTATTTCGAAAAACCTTTATTCAAAAGTTTCGAATCGTTTTATGAAAGCTAGTCTAGTAAAGAACTTTATACGTACTAAGTATTACGGTCAATATTTGAAAATACAACTTATCTGACACCTGGAGGACAATATCTTACTATACCAAAAGAAGATAATTTAACTACTAAATGTCAGAATGCTTGCAGACGACGATATCCATATTCTTAGGACCCTTATTTTCGTCAATTCATAAAGTTATAGAGCGATACTTAAAAATAAAGAAATATGGAAAATGGGTGTGGGTGTGGGTTAAGATAACAAGTGCAGCCACATTCCATCCACACCCACCCCACACTCACACCCACACCCCATACTCCACACCCACCGTCAAGATTACAATCTGCTTATTCTCCCTTGGAATTATGATGGAATCTTGACTAGTCCTAGATTCATGATTTACAAACAAATGTGGCTAAAACTGGGAAAAAATTACAAACAGGTTTCCATATCAGGTTGAGAACTCCTAAATGGCATCTTGTATGACTGTGAGAAATTCTGAGCGGTATCCTATTTAATTTTGAGAAATTTTCGAAGTAGTAAGCATAAGTAATTTAACCAGAATCCTGTCGAACACGTCAGAAACTTCTGGAGATTCAGGATTCTCATAGATTCTTCGAACACTTCTGAAAGAATGAACAAAATTCGCACTAGAAATATTCATACACAGTCACATTTGTACCCACCCACTCACCCACAACCAAATTCGAATCTTAGAAGCATACCTTCACACTCACATCTATCAGATATATTTGCAGTCTGTTTGCTTTATGCTTTTTCCACCGTTGATTTTCATTTGCAGAGCGAGAAAGAAGGTAAGAGAAAGAGAAAAGGCAACTTACAGATCAGCGAAAATATTTTCAAGCCTTTTCTTGTTTACTTTAGTGAAAGGTAGCGAACAATGCTTCAAAACAAAGTTGTAAGAAAGAGCAATTCAAAGAATTACGCCTTTTATTTCTTAATACACTTCCATAGTGTTCCTCACTCAGATTCAGTAAGTTAGCCATACACTGGAATGGTGCGAGTTCGGGTTGAATCAAATTTCCAACTTTAGCTGAACATTTTGAAAATACACAACGCGATGGTGTTGGGTGCAGATTGGGACCTCAACGTGAATCTGTTTGTGAAAGTGAATGAATCTGCGTCTAATCGCACTTCCCATGCAAATTGCGAGTCACATAAATATACACTCTCAGACCATGCTGCTAAAGACACAAAAATCTCATACTTTCCACACATCAATAGATAAATCCATGCAACCAACAACAACCATACCTAGGCCCCTACCCATATCTACACGCACACAATCAAATTCACACGCGAACATTCACACCCATACATCATACCCACACACATAAACACACCCACACCCCATACCCACTCACACCTACACACCCACACTCCACATCCACTCTCAGCTACACACCCACACACCACACACAACACACACACCCACATACCACACACCCCCACACCCCCCACCCCACACCCACACCCTATATTTTGAGAATAAGCACAAATCTCCACTATTAAAGCTGATTTAAAAAAGAAAATACAAAAATTGTTTTTTGTTTATGACGCATTAGTTTGTTATGATTTAAATACTACAGTTCACACATCCAATGTTTCATACTTTCAGGATCCGTTTTATCTGCTGTACATGCTGGTGGCGTCCATAAGTAATCGTAAATGATTGGGATACCATGATGTCTCAATTTGCTCACTTGATTGTCGCATCGCTCTCGTAAATCGCTCGGAGGTGGATGAGCAGACCAGAATGGTGAATGATGGAGAAAATATCCAAAAGTAGCCTCCGAAAATGCTGCATAAGAGCGTGTATTTATTATGTGCAAGTGAAATGCCTTGTCTATTTCGTTGGGTGGTCCACAATCAGTTCCGAGATTATATCGAATACCAGTATAGAAATTTTCCAATTCATAGACAATTTCTTGAGCACGATCCGTTGAGATATCATTGTATGTTGTTGTAAGCATTTCGATCAGATACGTTCGATCACCATCAGGAAGAATAACTCTTTGCACAGCAACAGTAGACACTATTAGCCATAGAGAAGAAAATAGAAACATTAAAACCATGATTGATAGTTGAGACAAACTGGGTGAGAAATGACAAATGAATGCATAGAAAACATTGTTTATATACAGCATGTTGATTACGTCTTCCTCTTTCTCCCAATTTAAATTTTGTTCTTTTCTCTATTTGCAACGTGGTAACATGCCATTGGACTATATAATTGCAAGTAAAAAAAAAACAAGGTTCGGTTTTCAACCATTCATCTATGAAAAAGTGACAGTACAGTACTATTCAATATCGAGAAGAAATAAAAGGAGGCGCCACATTACTATGAAAGATTGATAATGACTTTTGTAGAAATTAAAGAAACATACTTCTGAATTATAGAATCATCATCTATCATAAATTACCAACTCTAATATGATTTATTCCAACTTATATGTACATTTCAAAAGAAAAAAATTTCAGAATGAGGGTGTGGGTGTTGGTGTGGGTGTGGGTGCGTGTGGGTGGGTTTGGGTGTTGGTGTGGGTGTGGGTGCGTGTGGGTGGGTTTGGGTGTGGAGTGTGGGTGTTCTTTTAGCTTAGATCAACTCACATCCACACCCACCCTGCTTTAACTAAAAATTCTTCCCACTTCATGGAATATTCACAATGACAATGCTAAAAATTTTCTTCTTTTTTAATTTATATGATGAAATCGTTGCTCGCTTTTAATTTGTGATTGAAACTAATTAAAATATGAAGTTTTTTTTTTATGAAATGAAAGTGATCTGTATAAATCATATAGAATGATTTATTCGGATGTGAGGGTAGGTGAACAAAAGAGACTTCTTCACCCGCACCCTCCATTAATTAATGATGACACATTATGATAATGTAGCATCTTTAGTTGAAGATTGTACAGGATATCAAAGCATTATAGTTAAATGATTGACATCATAAGAAATTTGAAACTGTATATTTCTATATAAAGAAAAACAAAATGATAATAACAAAAGTAACAGCAAATGGATTACTCTATTTAGAAAAGAAGAGGCAATCGTAAAATTTGGGATGTGTGTATGAATCGTTTCTTTTCTGACATCCACATTCGCACTCACACTCCATGGCTGACAAGGGAACATTCCCAGGTGTCGGAACGCTTTTCAGTCAGGGTTTCGCGCATCTTGTAGCCCTTAGTGAGCTGTATCTATGGTAAAAGAAGTTCGGGTTTCTGGCTTGTTTCTGAGGAGATAGAACGTTTTTAGTGAATTTTCGCTATAGGACTCAACATTTGCAGCAAGACCATATTTTCGAATTTTGAGCTGAAACTTTGACCACATAAAAATGTCATTGAGACTACTTTGCATAAAAATTTTTAGAGCGTTTGGGTTACGTCTCTCTGAGATATGGAGCTTTGAAAAAATACATCCTATGTGCATTATCTATCGAAAACGGTCTATATCTTGATAGCTTCATACCTCAGAGAGACGTAGCCCAAACGCTCTGAAATTTTTTATGCGAAGTAGTCTCAATGACATTTTTGTGTGGTCAAAGTTTCAGCTCAAAATTCGAAAATATGGTCTTGCTGCAAATGTTGAGTCCTATAGCGAAAATTCACTAAAAACGTTCTATCTCCTCAGAAACAAGCCAGAAACCCGAACTTTTTTTTACCACAGATACAGCTCACTAAGGGCTACAAGATGCGCGAAACCCCGACTGAAAAGCGTTCCGACACCTGGAAATGTTCCCTTGTGAGTCGTAGAATACAAACGTCGATTCAGATTTATCATTTTCTAATTACATTCGATACTTTTGCCTAATGTCTCTTTCATAAAAGTATAGGAATCGAGCGCGATCATTTCTATTTGAATTATTAGCAATTCCACCATTCCCTGAAATTTCGTAAAAAGCAAACACATAGAAAGGGAGAATATCGAAAACTGAAAATACGAGTGTATACTGATGACGATGGTGCTAGAAATCATTGATATAATAAACTACTATTT